CCCGATCAATTCCAGCCATGGTCATGAGTGATCAAGGGTAGTGTTGCGGCAACTGCTCGCTCAACCCGATCAATTCCAGCCATGGTCATGAGTGATCAAGGGTAGTGTTGCGGCAACTGCTCGCTCCACCAAATAATGTAGGTAACTGTCTGGGGTAGTGTTGTGGCAACTGCTTGCTCAACCCCGGCTCATTCATTCCACTGGGTCTCTCCCCAACAATCTCAGATAACACAAAAAATTGCACATACCACAAAAGAGCAAGCAGCCCCCTAAGCCCCACAACACGGCCAGACCCATCTAGTGTTGGGCTGTTATTAATCGAATGCAAGCACCCATTTAGAACAAAGGGCTGTCCGTGAGCCCTGTTCAACGGCCATACACAACACAAATCATGGTAAGTCACACCCAAACCTATAAATAATGCACAGAAACAAGGGGCAAAAAAAGAGCAAAAATACGGAACACAAAAATAAGCACTTTTACCAATAGATGAGGAATCACTCTTTATTCATAAACAGGAATCAAGTCAATTCAGAAATGCGAAAGGTTAAGGAACCTGAAACTCTGAAAATGCCATAGACACGTCCATAAACGATAGATGCTGAGAAAAGGACGAACACGGCGGCGGGGCCACTGTGCATTATAGAGGGTCAAGGGGCAGTATGCATAATCAAGTCTTGTCAGCAAATTGTAATAGGCACATGGGAAATTTGCATGTGTAGGCTGGGCATGGGTACATGTATGTGATCGCAGGAGACCACAGGGTTTGTTGATGAATCGAAGCAAGGGTTGTTGAAAGTATTTCCATACAGAAAAATAGGGTTTGCAAGGCTTGGACCATTGAAATATGCTCTACCATTCTTAACCAGAATTAAGTCTGAATCAAGGTCATACTGACAGGGTTTGACAGGAGAAACAACCTGTGCACTGCAAAAACTTTGCCTGAACCTTTTCAGTACTCAACAAATATATCTGGCCTATTCTATGCATTGCACAATCATTTCATTTCAGATCCAATGCCAGGCTAGTAAAGTATTGTACCATGGGACTTGGTGGCTGTTCAAAGTACAAGTACAGTCGACTATACTTAATATGGGGGTCTTTGGACTTTCTGGAACCTCATCTCTAAGCTTAAAGTATTTTTCAGTTATATGCATAATTTTTTATCATACCAGTTATGTAGCCAATTCATGGCCATATGTTCTTGGTGATGAATAATGAGTTTGTTTTCAAAACATTTCAAACACGTTCACTATGAAAGTGTAATGTGCATTAGCATTATAGTTGGTAACTGACTAAAGTGTTGCATTTTTTGCATGTACAAAACGTAGGAAACTATGTCCATCTGAGCTCATATTACTGGAAATTGACTGTACAAATAATGTACTATCAGGATTCAGGAAGGGTCTTGGAAAAAAAATTCCTAGGGAGTGAGGGTTAATCTATTCTCAATCTATTACCATGTTTTGCTTTGCCCTTTGGTCTGCAACTCCTCCCTGCTGCTCTGCTCTTTGCTGCAAACTCAGTGCTATTCTGACCTGTTGTTTTGACTGTTGTCTTAGATGTCAATTCTTGCTTACTCCCTTCACGTTGAACTTCTGTAGCAGCCTTCTCTGTTGATGAGTTTCCCCATTGTTCTTGCACAACAGCATTTGTCTGCGTCTTCATAGATTTGTCGAAAAGTGTATTCAGCTTGATTTTCTCCTGTTTTGATTTGCTCTTGTGCAATTTTAAACTGCTGTTCTTGCCAAGACTGCTGCTGTATGCATGTTCCCATTTGACTCCATCTTTAAGCTTCAGCAGTGCAGCTTTCTGGGATTTCAGTTTCTTCTTCCTTTTTAATTGCTCCTGTTCCAGCAGTAGGCCAGTTTTTTTTGACTTTACTTTTGTCTTTTGTTGTGGAAATTTACAACTTACTTTCAGGAGACCATCATTACAGGCAAATCCATTAGTATGTCTTTCACTTTGGCCATGCAGGTCGAACAATGCAGTCACTGGCATATCCAAAGCTGGTTTCTTTTCTCTCTTAACTTTACTTTGTTGAGTTTTGGATCTCTCTGCACTAAGTTTCTTTTTTTTCTTTCCATTAATACTCTCAGAGTCTAGATGCTCAGTCCTAGTTTCACTATGTTTATGTAAAGGTTTTTTCTTCAATTTTGGTTCCTCCTTTTTGGACTTGTATTTCTTTTTCTTTACTTTTTGAGTACTGTTCACTGAAGGAAAAGGGGTTGGCAGTGGAGACATCTCAGTTCGAGGTATTTTAGGCTTAGGTTCCTCATCATGAAGCACAGTAATCCCTTGAACAGTCACTTCTGAGCTACTTTGGAGTTCTGGCATATCACTATGAGAAACTGCTGGGGCGGTTTCTAAAGGAAGTTCACCTCCAATGTTAACAACAACAGTTGAAAGTGATGGATGTTCTGGCTGCATCATGAGTGTTGTGTCTTTCCGGGACTCCTCATTCTCTGTATTCATATCTTTGTGGTTGCGTTTCCGTTGATTTGTTGTTCCCGTCATGATTCTTCTCCCATCCTTCTTGTGGAGTGGTTGACGACGTGTCTTGAGTGGAAGTCCATCACTCTTAGATTTTCTAGGACTTCAAATCGAAAATGTTATTTTGACATATTATGTAATGCATGAAATACGAAAGAAAATTCTAGTAGGAACCAAAATGTTTAACCCTTTTTCAGAGCACTCCTAGCATTGTCCAAGGCAGTCTCAGTGCTTTTTTGTCAAGGGGAGATTATCAGGCCTCAAACACAGGACCCATGGCAAACAAGCCTTTCACGATGCATTAACCCCCGAGTGATACTAGTACTACGGCAAATCCACAGAGGAAGCTATGCATACCGCACTGCACAATGCCTGCCCATACATATTGTCACAAGTCGGGTTCTAAACAATTTAGGTTTTGAAGTTTATGTTTCATTATTTGGCAAAAACTATTTATTTTTAATAAAAGGAGTTGGAACTCGGATTTTCATTAGTGACGTGTTCCAGAAACTCAAAACCTAAGTTGTTTAGAACCCAGCTTGTGACATATACATGTATGTTTGTGAGGTATGTCATGTGTGGCCTGTCGAGTTGAAAAATGGCCTTGTAGGGTCTGCATCTTCCGGATTTAATAATTTTATTTTTTCATCCAGTTTTGGACTATTTTGGGGGCCCTACGATTTGCAGTAATGTACGATAATTAACATTTAAGTTTATCTTGAACCAATCAATAAAATAAGATTGCAAAATACATGAAAACTTCAGTTACAGCTGACCAAATCCAGCCTTTCTTTGTAGCACATGATTGCCCAGTTGAATAATCATGCTGTCATGGGGTCCAAAACATATTGCACATCCACATGCACAATGGAAGAACGAGTACAAGACGAAATCAACAAAGGTGACATGTTTCATTATACAAATTGGTCCATGGGGTTGATTTAGTTTGTGTGTGGAATGATTGCATCATGCCAGTATTGCCTGAAGGATGTGTGGGAACTTCAATAGTGCCTCGGATAAATTGGGAATCTGCAACACAACTTTCATGAACAACGAGGAGCCACCACTGTAATTTCTGCACAATGTATAATTTGTTTACAGATATGCAACTTGAACTGTGACAAAACTGAGGAAATTCCATTCTTTGTAAGACTTTGTACAGTGTTTTTCCGATTTTCAATGGCATAAATCTGAAGTGAAAAACAGGGAAATCAGCTAATCCAAGGAAAACCTGCATGCCTGTGTTTTGTAAACATAACTATGTGTATGTCTTGCATTGACCAATGGAACCAATGGAATGGTTTTTGTGGGGTTGTGTCATTACAGTAACAAGTTTTGCCAGCTCAGTACAGAACCATCAAAATATTGGTATATGGACTAGTCTCAGGGTGCATTACATTTGAATACAAATAGTGACCATTAGCACCTGTCCATTAACAAGCAAAAGGCATGCAGGTACATACACAGAGCACCTACTAGACCATTTGCGCATGGGTGCACGCACTGTACATGTACATGCAGTAGGCCAGATACACACAATGCCTTTGTCATGGCTGGAGCTTTCTGGTTCTAGGTACACTTACACATAAAAAGTAGATCTTTAAACACCAACCTCACAAACAGGCACAAGAATGCACGGGTCCACTCTTTCATACAGTACTGCTCACAGTAAACGGACAAATAGAACACGATCACCCATGGTAACACCGTTACCGTTGTAACAGTGTCTGATACACGGTATGATCAAAGTGTCTGCACGGTGCAGATACTTAATCCCTGCTGACGTCGTAATATCTCTTATCATTCATCAGGCCAATAACTACACAATACTGCAACTTATTGACAGTGTTAACCACACGGAGCGTTTTCTAATTCCCCTGGTAAACGGTACAATGAACCACTTAAGGCTTTCTTGTGATTCTTTGGAATTTCTTCAATAAAGAATGTATGTGTAATCGGTACATTTATTTGTTCACTTGTTGCCTAGTTCTTAAAATCAAAACTCGACACGGTCAATTTTGGTTACAGTGTAAAGGAAGAAAACTATGGTACAATCAAAAGAACAGTAATTTCCCTATTTCAGGTTTTGAAAATTATTCAATCTAACTGCAGCTCAAATAGTCCTAAATTCCACTGAAGCTATTGTCAGTAATCACCACTATGTTTATCAGATCTTACACAATAACTTTCAAAATGTGTAACTTTTAATTCGGACTGATTGGATCAAGGAAAGTGACAACACTTGTCCAAGATTTGGATGGGTTTGTTCAGTTCCCTAGTCGCTTCTAAAACTTCATGTACGATGAGGAATCAAGAGAGAAATCAATTTTTAAACCAGAATAACTGTAATACATCAACGCCCAGTGTCAATTGAAGAATTTCTTGGTTTGAAGAAAACTGCTTCATTTACCTGAATTCCGGTAAATTAAACCAGGAGCTTGGGTAAATTCTGAGCAGACAAACCGCCCAGTTCGTTACGAGCTATACCGCATACATGCGAGTCCCACAAAACCCCACTGTGTCACACAAAACCTGTTACGTGTAGCTGAGTTCACCACATACATGTACAGTACATGTATGTGCATACAATGTACAGGTTATTTCCCGAGTGATTTTTCCTAGTTCCAGATCACTTGAAATAAAAAACGTACCTTGTTTGTGTTGTTCTTCATTTCTACATTTTACAAGAGGTGCTGTTTGAATTTGAAATGTGAGCTTCTTCTTGTACAAAATTTGTTCTCAGAAAATTTCTAGAACAGAAATTTGGGCCAGATTTCTGATTTGCACTTCGACATTTTTGAACAGTTTGTCAAAATGATCACAGGAGCCAAAAACTGGACAAAACTTTACAGGGCGATAGGTCACTCACTACGTGCCATTCCAATTATTTTTATCATACTTGACATACATAAGAACATTTTCATGTAATCAATATGACTTTTTGAGTTTCCGGGTTTTTAAAAATTGGCCGAAAGCTGAACACATTTTATGGATCATGCATTAAGTGCACGCAAATACGTTGGGAACTCAAGTACATGGGCGTTGGAGAAATGTACATGTATGTGACGTAATAGGTTTGTCAACTTGCGGTGCGGGGGGATGTATTATTGGTTGTTCGCTGTATAAAGCAGAAAAAGTCGAGTCAAAATCCATGCAATTTCTACTTCTTAATTCATTTTAATTCTTATGTTAACTAATTTTCTCTAAATTAAGAAATATTACATTAAACAAAAAGTCAGCTTGTTACAATAGTTGTGACTGAAAATAGATTTTCCTGTTGTTACTTTTACTGATCCAGAACAAAGAAAAGCATTGGCCTCACTTTCATCATACATTTCACAATCAATACGAGGTTTTTCTTTGTTTTTCGGAAGCTGCAATCTGACTGAATAATCTTCACGATCCGGAACTAGGAAAATAACCGTACTTGTTAGCATGATCTGGAACTGGGAAAAATACATGTTTAGCTTTCGGTCAGCAAATATTCAATAAATAAAAACAATAAAAATCATTTCCATGTGACATACATTATTTGCAAGAGCTTATAATAAATGAAAAATTGAGTACAGAAACATACTTGAAATCACACGTAGTGAATGACCTTCTGCCCTGTAATTCTTTGGTCGATATTTTGGCTTTTCCATCAGTTTTGTTTTTGTTTTTTTTTAATGGACAACAGCATTTTGTTGTTTGAGATTTGCAAGCAATTTAGAGATCTGGCCAACTTTTATTACAACGCATTCATACAGTAACTTTGATCAAATATGATAAAATGAAGGGCAAGTTAGGCCACTCGAGAACCATATCTTGTTGCGCGAGTGGAAGCCTGGAGCGTGTACTTCAACGGGTGCACCCGCCCAACAAAATCAGCATTCCCATTGGATATATGTATGTCGAGCACTGGTGCGGCATAACTCCATTTTTCATTCATTTTTTTCATCATGTTTTTATGCGTGCATTCGGTGTGGTATCTATGCCATGCCATATTAAGTTCAGGAAGTAATATGCATAATCCTCTGTTTACTGGCTCTCCTTTTCCCTTGAAGTTTGGTGTGAACGCTCTGTTTGAAGTGGCCAAGGGAAAATTATAAGGCAAATTGAAAATGTGTTGGCACATTTTGGCTGGCTCACTTGTTGGGGCAGTTCAGCTGCAAGCCTGGCACGGAAGTTTTGGGGTTATCTGTAGAAAATGTTGGGACAGAAACTTACTACAGGTATTTGCCGGATTTCTTTCAGATTTCTATCCCATAAAAAAGCTAGACATGGACAGCTCGATTGGGCTATTTGCTTCATATAGACAAGCACAAAAAATTCAAACTTTGATGCCAGAAAGTGAGCTGTACATGTTTTCAATCTCCCGACTTCCAAATTACAGGAGATCCTTTTGTACTGGTTACGAGCCGATATAGTGTACGAACATGTTCACCTTATTCATTACCCCCAACCTTAAATCCGGTCAGCAAGAACACCTGTGCTTATTCACTGCATTCTTCCCAAGCTTAATCCCTGTAAAACCAGTAAATTGCTTCAGATCAGCCTTGGCATTGATATGCAAAGCATGGAGGTTATAAACGTTTATTGGAGGTTTACCTGCCTTTCCTGCTTGTTTTGCTGGAAGGTCATTGTGTATGTCCATGGAGGAACACAATTTGCATAGTACATACAGGTAGAGATCATAGCATTTGTATCATATCTTCATTATAGCAATGCATTTATAGATTTGCTCTCTTCCCAAAATGTACTGAAATGTATACAAATTTGTTTATAACACGAAAAGTCACATCGGGTAACTCTACCCCTTCACGGCGGGAGGCGTTAAGACACGCCATAAAAATTGAGATCCTCAGCCCGCTTTTCAGCTATTATTCTTAGCCCATGCTCAAGCAGACACCGTGAAAGAAGGCAGACACTGGCTCTTGTGTATATGGTAATTGGTCTTTGTGTGTAGCCCAGAAATGAAAAGACCGAATTTGCATCATAATCACCAGCATCACGATAGTCCCCACTTTGAAAAGAGCCACAGAACAATCAGCCTTTTCACCCTGTAATTCAAAGCGTGCAGAGCACGCTGGGCCACATACCGAGAATTTGCAGTTTGGCAGG